AAAAGAAACTAAACCAGAATCCATTCAATTTTCTGCTACGATTGCGGTTTGGGAAAAACAAGAAAATTGCACCAGAATTTCATTATTATTCTTCGCGTGGCAACGCTAAACGCCTTCTAAATCCAATTAGGCTTTCTTTTGCGGCCGCTCAAGCGTTTCCGCAATAGAAAGGTTTAATTCAGTTAGAACAGAACATAAACAGATTTTTTTTAAACATTTTTTATTGCTCCAATCTACTCTGACAGATACGAAATAGCTTTTAAAACTGGGAACATTTTTTATGCGTTCATCTCGCTTGTATTAGCATGGAAAACCTATTATTTAGAATGCTTTATTAAATATTCAGAAAGGAAATAAAGTTTTACTGCAAGAGCGAATCACCACGGTGACAAATATTTTAGTGCAGAGGGATAATATTTTTGAATAAAGAAGCAGAAGTGCTTGTGGAATGAAAAAAAAATGTTATAAAGTATCTCCGAAAACGGATATAGGTTCAAATGTAGAGGTAAAAATTCTATCTTTGATGATAGAACACTCTTCATCCCCTTTTTTTATGGCCAAGTGTTTTTAGAAAGCATAATCTTCGTGTAAGAATACGTGAATTTATTCAGAAGGATAAAAAACTTTATGCAATTAAAACTTTTTTTTTCTAAACTTAGGATTAATGTGATCGTAAACTCTAATTTTGCATTAAAAATTTTGTTAGTTCAATGTTATTTAGTACCCATTTCTTATGAAAAATAGTCATTAATTATTTATAACATTGACTATTATGATAATCGAAAGTAAGAGTAGATTTAACATCTGTTTCTTATTTGAAAATTTATATAACATATTTAAAAATTAGCTTAGAGAGCTAATTTGTAACAATTAATATGCAATTAATATGCAAATTAAATATGTCGGCGAGTGTAAAGCCATAACATTCGGTACAAAGTTTATCCTTTTACTCCGAAAATAAATTAATTTCAATATAATTTTATCCAAAAGTGTGTTTTTGCGCCTAAAGTCAATATACATAAACAACATTTTAAATACTATCTTTATTGTTTTTTAAAATTTAGCCAATTAGAACACAGAAATATCTTTTTATATAGCCGCCCAACCGGGATAGCAGTTAGCGGCGCTGACTGCCGTACACAAACGCCCGGGTTTGAATCCTGAAGAAACCACGGGTGCTTGTAAATGTATAGTGTCTTTGCGGCAAGGGGAAACTCTAAATATGCGGCGAGACGTAAGTCCTCTGGAGAGATTGGTTGTAGGGGGAGAGGGGTGAGAGACCCTCTGACCCATCCCCCTCAGGGTGCTCTAAATCAATCCATCAAATCTGAGGGCGGATATGAGCAAAGTCGTACTGCCACCTGTTTGATGCTCAAGGATCTTGCTAACGGCAGGAACAATCTTGCACTCCTTGCCACGATGAATTTCGTGGGCTTGTTCTGATTATTATCAGATAAGTGAGATAAGTCACAACAACAACAATATATTTTACTATATTGTAGGATGTTACGTGTACACATTTGATTTTAAATCAGAATTTACTCGTAAAAACAGGGAAGTATTGAATATAATTTCATGATGAAGCGTTTAACATCTGTTATGCCATTATATCCCATTCTCCCTTACCAAAATATTTATTTTAATTACACTGCGGGGGAAAAATTCTATATCTCGCGTTCTACGGTGCCGATTGACAAAATTCAACTTGTGTTTTTCATGTCTCGAAAGCGAGACTCAGTACATGTATTAGATTTATATATAACATTGTGTAATATAGGTATTTTGACACAAAATCGGACTTTTTTTGAAACGAGATGGCAATTGTTTTCCATATTTCGATTCTACGACTCAAATTACGCCAAACTGCCAAATTGTGTTAAAATTGCACGAGTAGTTTTTAAAAAATTAGCTCCTCAATATCAATTGAATTTGATATATATTTATGAACCTTTCTTTTTTTGTTAAACGTACTTAATTACATCCATTTCTTATGATTTATTTTTAAAATTTGTATTTTTAAATAATTTTTATAAATTTTTCAAAAAAATTTTGAATTATAACCTATAAAATTTTTAACATCATCCTAAAGTAGATATATTTCTAGGCTTAACTGTAAAAAAAAACTAGAGTTTTTTATTCAAAATTTTCTAAGATATACATGAATTTACATATTGGCGAGTTTTGAAATTTGGCGTATTTGTTATAAGCGATAATAACGCCAAATGTGATTTGTGCACTTTGTTAAAATTAGTTGAAATAATGAACGATGACTTTTTTCCGCTAGTTTACAATGGAAAATAGAAAAGGGAAATAAGTTGCTATAAATTAAGAAGTTCGCCAAGTGAATTATTCTTGGAGCAAACTGAAAAAAATACGCCAAGATAAATTTCGCATCAAATTTTACAAAATTTAATGTCTAGGCATAATTTGAGTCGTAGAATCGAAATAAGGAAAAAAAAATTGGCACGTTATTTTAGAAAGTCCGATTTTATGTCAAAATACCTATATTAGAACAGTGCTGTATATAAGTCTAATATATATCCTAAGTCGCACTTTCGAGACGAGGCATGAAAAACGCAATTTAAATTTCGTCAATCGGCCTAGTAGAACGGGAGATATAGAACTGTCCCTTTAATTCCAAGTATTAATATTTCAAAAAGGCAAAAACTGCTTCTTGCTTGAAGATTGCTTCACTCGAAAATTTCGAATAGCAAAATCACGAGATAAGGGACATAAACGCAAAAAGCTTTGAGCTGAAAAATTAGGATTCTTAGAATAGTTACGTGTATATCAAACAAAATACTGAGCTCCCCACGATGAAGCAATAAAAAACGTTAGCAATTCGAAAACGGAAAAAAAAAAAAAAAAAAAAAAAAAAAAAAAAACTGCTAGTTGCTTGAAAATACGTAGCTTGATTCGAAAATTTTAAATCGCATAAGAATGTGGTAAACAGTATATAAACGGAATGTACTGAACTGAGAAATTAGGCTAATGAAAACAGAGTATTTTCGTAACGTCATGTAGAAAGATTTTTGAAAAGCTAGTAAGTAGTAATATATAGTTTTATCATTTGCAGAAAGTAATTTTTTTCTGGAAGAATAAAACTATGCATATGGCAACAGCGATTATAAAAGCGAGAAGGAAGAGTTTGGCATTTTCGTTTGATGAAAAAGAGAAAGAAAGAGTTTCGTTGCAAAAAGGTTTGAAAATATCTCGTAAACACAGACAGCTTCATATTAGTGGATTAATAATTAGGCAAATAGAAATTTATATTATCAGAGAGATATGAAATTCATTTATTTTATTTCTTTCACTATGAAGATGCGTTTAATTATTTATAAATTTCAGTTTTAATAATTTCATATTTTAATAAACGTATTTCTGAAAATTCAGTTTTATTGAAATCCTTGCTTTCCATCTTAATTAAGGTAATATGCATTATTTATCGGTGTGAAAGCATCAAAAAAAGAGTTTTTGTTTTCTCCCCCCAAAAAGGATTGTATTTGAAACAGATTCATTTATCGCACATATTTATATATATATTATTCCTTTTATAGCAAGCTACAATAAATTAATTAAAAAAATCTGAAAGCTTTCAGATTTTATATTACGCAAAAAAGGGAGTTTATTTTTAACGTTTTATGTATTACTTTTATTGATTAAATGTCATATTCTTTGCACTTAAAACACATAAAATTCAATTCAACTGCAATATCATAAAATATTTAAAAACAGCAAAAACAACATATCTTTAGAATTTCCGCATAATCTCGCATGCTGGAGATAAAAATACTTTTTTTCCGTACAATGTTCCCATTGCTCGGTTAAAATCGTTGAGTTTGTTAATCAAAAATTGTTAAAATTTTGCAGAGTAATAAATAGACAGTAAAACAAATCTGAAATTCAAAATTCAGGCTTCTAAGTGCCCATGTTCGGTTGGAGGACTACGTTATTCAAAATTTGATGGCTGTAGGTACCGTTGTTTCTTCACAATGCGAGAAACATTCATGCATTTATGCAAATTCTTCAGTATTTAGTTTCTTTAAATATAATGCCTTGCTTTAAATATATTATTTCGTGGCAACAGTTTAAAAAGTGAATCGGCGCAAAATGCCGTTTTAAAATCAATAGCCCTTTGGGCTAATAATCTGATCGAAAAATGTGACATGAAAAAAAAGCAATTCATAAATATTATAATACTAATCGAGTTTAATTCAAATTAACCTTTCTATAATATTTAAATAATTTAATTTCATTGCAGTAAATATCCATAAGCAAAATTCACAGTAGTTACAAGAGTTAAAGTAGTACGATTTTAGAAACTCAACATAATGATCACTTAAATTAAAAGAGAACAATGCATATCCTAACGTAAACTGGCTGTAAACCGAAATTGTTTTACATTGCCAAATACTAGAAACTGGTTTACTTTATAACTTAAACCTTCTGGCAACTCTTATGCACGTTCCAATAAACTTTACTGCGTAGTCATAGATCTCAAATCTGCTCCCAAAGCTCCAATAACATTAGGGATTATAAATTAGGGGATGATGATCGCGTTATTATATGGATGATACATTAACCTCTCTTAAAATTGCACTTTCCAAGCTTTATATGTAGAGTTTCCCGTCTTTTAGGTCTATCGATATCGAAATTTCCAAAATTCCTTAATATATTATACTATAAAGGCTGCATAACTTATCTGAATAAATTGAAGCGCGAAAATCTGGTGCAGCTATTCAGATTTGTTTAGCTGCTCAGATCGTATTCAGATTTTTTAGCTGCTCAGATCGTAACACACGATGCAATATTCAATGCCTCTCTATTTCTTTTTCTGCAACATTCTGTATATCAGTGCCTAAAGTTACATTTTATTGCCAAATACTTCACTTCCCAGGGAAATAAGCAGTTAAACCTTAAAAAGATCACGGTATAGAGTGTATAAAATTATTCACCACAACTCATACACTGAACAAGCTCAGAATATGTTTCATACTTACTGGAAAGTCTTTTGGCAAAGTTTGTGGTGACGCATAATGAATCTTTCTGCCATAAAACACTTCGTATTCCTGGAATTCGATTTACCTGTAAGAGGAGAAAAATTAAAATTAAAGACATTTTAAGAAGTAAGATAAAACGAGTTAATAACTTTTTTTACTTTTAAAGAAATAGCAAATGATTCTGAGTGTGTGTGTGTGTGTGTGTGATTATGGCAAAGCCTCGAGGGCTATCTGCCTAAGGGAAGGGATGCCTTCGCGGAGGACTTTCTAAGAGAAACTGGCTCGTATACACGTTACACATGGGGAAAACCACGAAAACGCCCATGCAGCCAGCCCGTTTGCGGGATTCGCGCCTCGGACCAAACTACCAGTGTTCAGCGACTTTACCGCTCGGCCGCTGGTGGGCGCAAACGATTCTGAAAGTTTATATTAAAACACGAGGGGGATCTTGTTCATTTACGAATTGCAAATATATTCTGCTTAAATTTGCATTTACATATTTATATTCCTCAGGTTGAATTCTATTCCAAGATAAATATGGAAGTAGTATGAGTATGAAAAGGTTATTTTCACCAAACAAAAAATGGACGGTATGTTAAAATGGAACTATGGAAATAAATACAAACGTAAAAAAGGAAAAGAAATTTGCAAAACTAAAGAGAAACTTGAGTAATACATAACATGTTATGAAACACTAATGATAACAATAATAGTATAAAAAATTGTTAATCATGTTAATGTAACATACTTGCAACTACAATTGATAAAACCGATTTGGTACTAAGGTTTATACAGTGAAAAGGAAAAACATGAATGTATGCGAAATGAGATATTAATGAAATATTATACGCACCATGTAAAATTGAGTATTTCTTAAATAAATACGTAATTTATCTATTTACCTAGCTTAGGCACTAAATATTAGGTTTATCTATTTATTTATTATCAAACTGATACGTATGTTATCCAATTAACGAATTGATTATCAATAGATAAAATGTAAATGCTCATTTATTGCTCATCAAATAATTACTGAAAGTTTTTGCTATCTCTAGGTTTCACTGCGAAAGTTTATGATACCTCTGGTTTCACTTTCTTTGCTTTTCACTAAGGTTTTCTTCACTTTTATTTATTTATTTATTAGGTAATGCCACTAAAATTAGTTGTTGTTGCAATCATTTCTTTTTCCAAATATTTATCGCACGTTCGAATATGAACGCTACTGTACTATTTATTTTATAAAGCTGGTTTTGTAGGGTTTCCTTTAATTCAACTAACGTATTATTCAAATTTTTGTTATCTTTACTGAAGTCCTCAAGTTCCCCTCGCATTTCCTCGCCAGGATGTAAATTTAAAGTTAAGTGAAGTGAGTATTTAAACGGGGGAATCTTGGAAATTTTTCAGAGTGTGTTCTTGCTAACCAGCGCACGTTTCGTTGCTGATATTGTTGTTACGTTAATACACCACTTGGCCATTTCGGATAATTGTCACGTCTGTTAAGTTTGTGAGTTAACCTAAGCTAGCCGTAACTTAACGTGCTAATCCAGCACTATTCTATTTAGACTTAACTAAGTTGTCGGTGTTATTGTAAAGCACGAAGATCGTGCCTTTCTGTTCTTAGTTGGAATTAATAAAGGGTTATTTTCATTCTTCTTCTGAGCTGGTATTTACTTCACGCTTGTGCGAGAATTCACCAAGTTCATTTGTAGGATCTAGTTTAGTTTATGTGGAAAAGGAGAAACAGATCTTATAGTTTCATTGAATTATGAAGCTATCGAAATTCAAATTATATGCATTATTGTTCTTCTTCCCATATACACAGCGGGTTGTGTACATGGCTATTTTCGCTTAAAAAGCCTTAGATATTTGCCCACATTAAATCATGCATATTATGATACATTGCTATTGTTATCCCATTGTACACAGCGATTGTTTTTCGCTTAAAAACATCAGAGAACTGCAGAAACTCGCCATTATACAAATAATATGATGCATTAGTGATGTTCTCTCCATGTACACAGCGATCTATCTTTACTTAAAAAAGTCAGAGGATTGCACAATCAATGCATCGCACAGAGTCTTGCATTGCGCACAGGAAACGTCATGTAGACTATACGATATATTATTGTTGTATTACTGTTGATACGTTACTCTTACATTAAATTAATATTGGTTATTAAAAATAAGCTTGTCAAAACTAAATTATTGCAAAAACAGGAAAAAGTAGTGTTACTAGGATAACATATTTATTTGACACGGAAATTATTATATTTGGCGTCCCCCTTATTCTATACTTTTGCCAATCTAAATTTCAGTAGTTCCACAATTTAAAAATTATAGCTTAATAAGATAAAAATTTTAATAACTTTCATACTCGAACGAGCGATAAACTTACAGCAGAAAGAAATGTTTAAAACAATAACCAATTTTAGTCATCTTAAAATTAAATAAAAGGAAATGAAAGCTGTAGATTACATACTACGATTTTCTGTCGTCAATACAGTCACCTAAAATATCAGTTATCGGAGATTTTAGTACAGATTCTACCTGTATTCTACTCATTGACCTCAGTTTTTTCGAAATAACTGTTAATTACTGCAGTTTGTTAACGCATTTTTTATACAACACATTCTGAATGCAAGCCAACTTAAAATTGCCTATATAATGTTTTATTTTTAATGATCTATTAAAACCATTATTCTAGTATATTTAAAACTGCATTATCACTGTTTTTTAAAATATGATATGCTTACGCAGGAAAATTATCACCGTAAGCATGTGAGAAAAATATATTTTTCTCACTTGCTTATAGTGATAAGAGTTTATAATAACAATTACAGGCAATGAAACCTCTGCTGTCTGTTTTCAAATGAAATTTCGGAAAAATGCAAGCATAGTAACTAGAGGCAGATTTATGATTGCAATCATAAGGGATCCAACGATTCAAAGGGCCTTCAAATCATTAACTAATTTTAAAAAAAGCTGCAAACATAACCTGTGTCTTAAGACGAAGGCCCCCCCCTCAAATTCGAATGGGAGGGATCTCCTCTGTATGCATGTTATTATCCTCCACCGATAAGAACATACATACAGGTTTTATTAATTAAACATAATTATAACTGCATAAAAAATTCAAATTCGCAAAATTATTATTATTTAATATTTTGAATAATAATACTTCGTAGAGACGTTAGGTATTTTTTGAAAGCAATGCTCTCGCCGGGACTCGAACCACGGACCTCTCGAATACGCGTCGAGTGTGCTGACCGCTACACCACGAAGGCATGCTAAGAAGGCGGGAGAAATACCTTATAACTTAATGACATAAAATGCAAAACTGCAAGGCATTTGAATGATTAAGAAGAAAAGTTACACAGTTTATTAGATAAAACATATTATTGAAATAGAAGGAGCTTATATTTTCCTATAATGCTCACCTTCGTATTCCTTAGCATAATTTACTGAAGGAAATGTCACATTTGACGGGTTAAAGATGGGAACCAACAAAATCACATATTTAGACAAGGAGCCAGTTCTCACGATTAGCGAGATGTTGAAAAATCCTTGTATTGGTATGATGTTGCTTATTATTCTGGTGTAAAATTTCTGAAGAAATACGAGGCCGTTCCCCTTGTGAAAGGAAAGATAACGTATTAAGACTTTGATGATACGAAAACAATTGTTAGCAAACTACAAAATTAGCTACGCTATAGACTTTTTTTTATTAATTTTTATCTTGTTAAACAGCTTTTGAAAAAAACTTTCGAGGTATTATATTTCTTTTCCGGCATCTCGTAATTTCTTGCTCATTAGACATGTTTCTCTCCTTCTCGTTGATATCTTGCTCGGCATTTTTTTATGCATTAAGAAATAAATGGGTTCGTTGATGTTCTCGAAGCTGTATCGTGGTCAGCTGATGGGACTGGAACACTAGGATTGGTGGTTAATGGCAAACGAGATACAGAGTTTGTCGTCTTGCAAATGAATATCTCTTCATATTTCTCTTCTGATCAAGTTAGTTTTTGGCCAAAACCCAGATAGGCGACATTTGCTGACAAAAGAAAATGCCATTACATATTTCACAGGCAGGAATGATTATTTTTTTTTCATGTAGAGAATATATATATATATTCCATCCGCATCCATGAATTGCAATGCTGTTTGCACTTAAAAAGAAACTATTAATGATTGGTAAAGTAACATGTTTTATATCTATATTTCATGTTATAAAATTATATTGAACGATTAGTAAATTAAAAATAATATTACTATTACTCAAGTTCTAGTTTTCTTCTCCTGTTTCGGCTAGGATTTAAAAAGTAAAGTCTGCAATTATTTAATGGGCTTTATCTTATTATTTTACCTGTACCGTATCTTCTACTTTCGTCCATTCCTACCAGGATGCAAATTAGCTAACATGTATAAAGTCGCGTAACTATAGATAGGCAAAACTAGGTAAGATCCTAAGGGCCCATTACTTTTTTGAATATTCGAAAAGTAGTAATAAATTAATAAATTTATTGCTGAAGTCATCTTTGATATTTTACACGTACAGATTTAATTTTAAATTTTGTAAATAAATATGTTATTAATTATAAGAATTTAATATCTTCCTTTCGAATAATATAAAAATTAGAAAGAAAATTGAATGTCACAGCAGCCTATCTTTTTTGTTGTTGATTCCAGCGCAGCGTAATGAATTCTTTTGTTTATAGTTATTGGCCCGTCTATAGTATTGTTGCGTTTTTATTTTCTGACACCAGTTGTTACGTTATTTCCTTCCTTCACGTTCGTACGGGGTTCGTAGATTTGGAGTGAATAATGACGACACTTGATGAAGTATCGAAACACACTTTATTTAGCCAATATTAATCAGGACAGCTCCAATAACACCTTTTACAGTCGTCGAAGATCTACTATAAACACACTGGAACAACCAGCGACACAGCCTTCACACTGTCAGACAATAACGGTGAAGACAGCTTCCTGCAAAGCACCCGACTCTGCTTTCCGGAGTACAGCTCCCGACTCTGCTTGGTCGTTCTCGGAACTCTACGTACTCTCGAGACTTTCCACGCTACAACTCGCGATGCACTCGACGACACACGAGCACAGCTCCCGACTCTTCAGTTCAGTCGTTCTCGGAGCTCAACACGCTCTCTCGACGATGCACTAACCGCGATACACTAACAGACTCCTTCGGTGCACTCGACGACCCACTCGGCACTCGCTGCCCGGCTGTCAACTCGATCGGCTGTCAATCCCCGACTCCGCAGGGATTGACTCGCTAGACGAGACACCAACTCGATACTAACTCGCACTCTAGACGAGGCACGCACACTCGGCCTCTCAATGAAGACACACACTAACTGAATGCGGACCAGCAGGGTTTATATAGCTTTCGGCTAGTGTTCGAGAACATTCTGGGCTAAACTGGTAAGAATTCGTTCCAGAATATTATCCAACCGTCCATGGTATATCGCCAATTTTATCTCCAAATGGGCGATTTCTCGCCAGATGTGGCAACCCTGCCTTCCCTTGCCTTTTATGGTAACCCTAAACGTGCTTTACGGGGAAGCTACCTTACCGCGCCTTAACATTTCGTAACACTATTATCACATGCGTTTAATTCAAATGCGTGCATTATCCTCAAATTGTTTGATCAATCTAACCAAAAGTAACCTGTCTTTTTGTATTGATAATTATTTGCTGATTTGTTTTTATTGTGCGTTTCATGCTTGAGGATAAAACAATATTACAAAGTAGCAAAAATTGCTGTCATAAACTAGATGGAAAATAAAATTCGAAGATAAGGAGTATTTAAAAAATTATAAAAATTAGTAAAATAGTATATATATGTGTAAGATAAAGAAATATGAAACCAAAACTTCTAACTTTAACAGGCTATAACTTCTTTTATTTTTTTATTTAATTTGGGGACTTCTCTTAAAACTCTCTCTCTTAAAAATAGCGCTGTAAGTCTAAATTGCGTCATTCAAATTAATCATGCGATCCTACGTAACGCTTAATCCCGTGTACATGGAAATTATTGCATTCAACTATGATTGAAAAATATCTTATCTACAGAAAGATGATCTGATGTGAATTATCCTGAAATAAAATTATGTTTCGAAACGGCCATATCTGGAAGTTCTTTATGCATTCATCCTTCCAACTACGCAATAAAGTGTCTTCGGAGGCTAGAAATTAAAGTACCAGATTCCTTCACCTACGCAGTAAAACATGATATATATATATATATATAACCAGTTAAAATGGATTAGAAAATACAAAAGACTGGGGTCCGAAAATGAAAAGAAAACAAACGGTAGGCAGGGAAAAAAAAAAAAAAAAAAAAAAAAAAAAAAAAAAAAAAAAAACCACCCTTCTCAAATTAGACAACTTTTAAGTTTTTACCCTCCTTTTCATGTACTTTTATGGTGTAACTGAAAGCACGTTCGACGCGTATTCAGGAGGACCGGAGTTCGAAATCCCGGCGATGGCTGCGGATATTTTCAGTTTCCTGACATCGGGAAATTCTAAAAGACTCTAAACTGGCGCCCGAATTAAAAGGTGGTGGGCGATAATTCGCTTCACTTCTGTTAGACTTGGACTGATTAACTTCTACCAGATAAAAAGAAACCCTCCATGTTATTAAAACATCACACCTAGAGAAACATTCTTCAGAAGATATCGTCTCTGCCAGCAAGGTCGAACAGCCTGAACAAAAAAGTAAATTACCGGCTGAAGTCGCCTGCACGACTAAGGCTGACAATAAACACAACATAAGAAGCAGATACACATACAAACTTTTAAAGCTATAAGAACGTAAGTAAAAACTTTACTGATGATATCAGATTTCTAATTAATTGCGATGAAAATGAAGAAAAGCTTAAGGGCCCCTTTCCGAAAGATATCAAACAAGGAATTAGGCACTTTAGTGCAGCATATTATGCATTTCTAATGAAGTACAGACAAGTGCCGCGGTATTGGTTGTGTTACTCTAAATTATTCGATGCTGCATACTGCAGACCTTGTTGGTTGTTTTCAAACTGTAATAGTAACTGACGTTCAGGCATTAAAGGGATTAAAAAAAATGTAATTTTAAGAATTAAAACTCACAGTTCTTACAAATCACATGTGAAGACAAGCGGGAAAAAAATTTGGAACTCGAAGTTCGATACGACCGTAATTTTAAAACATGTTCATACTGAAAGAGATGGTAATTCCGAACCCATAACTTTTATAATTCAAAATGCATTTTCCGCATTTTGTTCTGTAAAAGATTCTTCGTCCGAAGGACTAAAAGAACTCATTCTCAATTTCTTGAAAGAAAAAAATCATTTAAGTGCTATGTATAAAGGATGTGACGTCGCTTATACTATGAGTGGTGTCTATAATGGCTTCTCTCAAAAGATAAAAACTACTCAGTCAAATGCAGAATATATATATACACTAGTCTTAAAATTACCAAGTTAAAACTTATCATTAATGACACTGTAAGTGGTTATAAAGAAATTACATAGTTTTTTATAATACTAAAAACGTATATTTAATCCGTGGGAAAATTATAAACCAATGGATTTTGTTAACAAATTTTACAGCCGAACCAAAAATATCTTGTTATTCGCAGGAAAAAAAAAAAAAAAAAAAAAAAAAAAACTGAAACATACTGAAATTTAGAACTAGATTTTTGAAAAATATATTCTAATAATTTTGAGCAATTGATTGTTGCTCGAACGTTTTTCTTTTATTTCGTATTTTTGTTGTTTGCATATGTATTCATTTTACTGTTCATATCCCTTCATTGATTGCCACTTCCTCTTAGAATATCTGACAAAGTTTCAAGCACTGCTAGCCATAGGAAAAGATGAAGAAATATAGTTTTCAGATAAAGTTTGCTTTGCTCCATTTCGTGGACATTCCAGAATAAATGCCTGTTATGCCCAAAACGAAACTGGTGCTGCATTCCACATACGAGCACTCTGATATCTTATATAATAGCCATAGCATGAAACGTACAAAGAGAAAGTTTAAAGCTGTAAACGAAACAAATATACATGCACATAAATACAATAGCATCATCTTATGATATTACCATCAATGGTAGATAATAGAAGAGACAGAGGAGTTTATCTCAGTTCCGAAGAAGTAGAAAACGTTGCAGTATAAAATGGCAATGCAAAATGCTTATGCAAGACTTCTATATTAAAATTTAAAAGAAAATTGTTCCGTTATTGGAACAATTTATAGATTATGCTTTTGAGCTGTATCATCATAATGAAATGGCACTGAAGTTTAAAAGATGCATTCAGCATAAATTAAAACTGGGTTCCTGACACTTAGCCGACAAGACAGCCGACAGCGTTTAATATAAGTTCGTAGATTAGCATTTAGCCGACGCGGACGTTAGCTGACAGAACATTTAGCCGACACGGGCATTTAAGCGACAGGAAACTTAGCTTACACGGACATTTAGCCGACAGGACATTTAACCGACACGGACATTTAGTCTACAGGACATTTAACCGACAAGGCATTTTAGCCGACACCGAGTTTACCTGCCACAGGTACAAAAACATGCTACAATGTTTTAGTAAAATTGTACATATTTTTTGAAAAAAGGGCTGTTTTCAAAGTCCAATAAGAACGTTTATCCGTACGTGTCGGTTAAATGCTCTAGCAGCTAAATGTTAGTTAAATGTCCTGTCGGCTAACTGATATCAGCTAAGTGGTTATCGGCTAAATGTCCACGACCGATTAGAACGCTAAGTAGAATTACGCAAAAGCTGAAAATTAAAGAGATAAAGCGAAGCTCTATAAATTTTTTTAAAATCTTTAATGGCTTAAATATTGGCTAATATTTCATGGGAATAAATTTCATCGCTATACCTAATTAGTATACTTAAATAATATTCTTAATATTCTATATTTTTATTTTCATCATTTCAGCTGAAATTATTCAAGTTCCGCATCAATGATTCTTACTGAACGGAATTATCGTTTAGTATCTTCTCATAGTTCGTTGTTCGCGGAATGCTGAATGATTCCAATCCCCACAGTATATTTGTGTATCTCATGCAATAATAGATAAGACCTTAATCATGAGCCAATCGATAATTTCTGATTGGATACCTACCCAAGTATAAGTTCGTAGATTAGCGAGTTCTTTCCAATCAAAACAGGATCCTGGATCTCCATCAGAAAAAGCCATGCACAGAAGCATCAACCAATCTCGGGGCTCCTCTTCATCTGGACTTTGCTGATACTTTTCTGGCTCTAGAGAAAAGAGAAATGTCTTTTCAAAAAACACTCATCCGTGAAGCAAAACAAAGTAATGAGATTGTAGTTATAGTTTAGAAAATCAGATTAATTCTTAAAGTTTCTGGAATATTAGATCAAGTCCAATTCTAATTAATAACAATAATTTAATATAATATTTATGGAATACTATTTTTATGTTTCATACTGAAGATAATATACAGGTGAACCGCAAGATCAAGAAAAAAGATGCATTCCCGAGAATGCCTTTAGAACAGATTTTCACGTAATTCGGATAATTTGCCTGATGTTGATAAGCAAACGACAACAATATTAATAACAAAACAATAGAAGCAACAGTAACGGCGATGGCGGACCATATATGGTAATAATAATAATACAATAAGCATAACAGTTAATATCGGGTAAAAAGCAACTTATATTCTCGTATATTAATAAAATGCTGTTGATTTCGAGGGCAGTCTGACACTTCTGCAGCAGCAAATGGTTTTTACAAAATATCCAGCACAAAGCGTCTTTACTTATGTTTCAGGAAAAAAGAAAGGGAATCGATATCAGATCATTCGCAAAATTAATACGTTTTACTCAAAGTTTTTCCACGCTAATTTTTCGGTAATCATATATGTTTAAACTATCCCTGCAAAATTACAGAGAAATGTACTTACTATGATTTTATAAGCCTCCCCAACAAAACCCATTATTTTAGAAGCATGATTTTGCTTTGTTTCACTTTTCATTGAAAAATGTTACTATCTTTCAATAAATCTGTTTGCTATTGATTTACAAACTAAGCTATTTAAAGCAATAAATGAAATTAAGAATATTATTTTTTATTTTTAATCTGATTTATTTAAATAAAGTGCATTTAATTCAAGACATATTTTTATAGAAATAATTTACATATTTTTTACAGTTTTCAAACGTACAGAATATATATAATGCTCCCATGTTAGTCAAAATGCATATTTGTCTCGTATTCTATAAAATGCTATTCCTCCTGAGTCATCTCTTTGATAATTTCTTCTGCTAAACCACATTAAACTTTAAAACGGAACTTTTGGGTCGACTGTTAAAATATGACACCTTTCAGAAGTTTTGTTCTTATTCATTTATTGTTTATTATCTTTTATGGTTGAAAAAGCAATTGAATTTATGAAATTAAATTTTTAATCTTTTACACCATACCAGTAAATACTACATTACACATACTACTACAGAGGCTGATTGCACATTTTTTAGACGATTTTCCTTTGCTGTAAAAATCAATCTTCTGCTTGGAATTTTTTTTAACTACAACTATATTTCTCAAAGTATAAATTATCATTTGCTACTTGACAGTTTTGTTTTCATGCAAAATGGCGCTTTTAAAGAAGCAATGGATGGAAGGCTATGTTTGTGCTCTTTCCGAAGGAAATTATTCCCATCTAGTTATTAAAAAACGTTGTGAAAGCCGTGGTGTTTCGATATCTAAAGCTACTATAGGTAAAGTTGTCAACAACAAAGGCAAAAAATGTCAAAATTTAGCTTCAAGTGGAAAAGTTGTTCCAAACACGTATCCTAGGAAAAAACGGATTGTTTCGAATTATGCGAAAGTAAAATCTTTAATGTTAAAAGTCAAAGGACAGTTGCAAAATCATTAAAGTGCTCAATGACTACTATAAACAAAGTGACTGATGCTGATTTGGATCTTAAAAACGCGAAAAAACGTATGTGCATCGTGTTTTTCCACGACATATCGTCGAACGCAGAACGCACTGCAGAATTCTTTTGGAGAAACATTTACCCAGACAAAAATGGAAAAAAATTGCTACAATAGATAAAGCTTGGGTCTATTTAAACGACCATAATCAAAAGAGATCTATTTGTTATCATCGTATTTTCACTTGGAGCGTGGTGAATTCGCGCTCTTCAAAAGATCACATGCACAAACAGTCCATAGGTGAAACGTCAGGGGACTATGCAAAAATATGTTGCACAGGTAATGCAATACCTGTATTAGTCTTCATTTTTTCAAGGAATGCCGTGGTACGTTTCGAAGTATGACTTGATGCTTTGTCTTGATGAAATTTCGTTCTTTGAAAGTCATTGGAATAAAGAAATGGAATATCTTCTGTAGACATCGGACTTAAACCTTTCTTTTGATAGTACGTTGTGTTGGTTTTTAACATTTCTTTCAGCTCTTCTTGTTTTTAATTTTCCATTATAAGAGGATCGGGTTACAATCATAAATCCATTACCGAGACTTTTTTTTGCATTGACGGAATCAGTTCTGTGCACTTTTTTCTACTCGTTTTCGTTAATAAATGGACTTTTTTTTTTGTCGTAGTCATTTGGATAAGCCCATGCTTCATCACGGGTCAGAGGGTATTTCCATTTATCTCTTGTTAAACGTTTTCATACAGGTTTCTACAATCTGTTCTGCGTGGCGCCACATGCCTCGGTAAAAGCTGGTTGAACATAAAATCAGATAAATAAACAATAATGAATTAAAGTGGTTATTTAGATTTCGGAAAAACATACAAAGGCTATTTGCTTCGAATTAAAAATAGTAAAAATGACACTGTAAGTGAAACGCAAAAAAGCCAGCACTGGATTTGACATTAAATAGCCTGTTAAATTTACTAGACCTGTTTCGAAAAAGAAAACTTTCCTATCACTATTATGCGCAAGCAACAGATGCAACAAGTTAGCTTATGACACTTAGTACTTCTCACGCGTCTTTTAGCTATACTGGAATGAAAGATTTCAACTAGAATTATGCGTATGGCAGCAAAACTACAAAACATAAAGTCGAAGTTTCCAAAATACTTTGATGCGTAAAGTGAAGAGAAAATATTCTTTGTTCTTATCGGAACCGGTTGTGAGGCTTAGAATAAGAGGGCTCAAAATGTTTTCAAGAAGTTCCTTTTGGAGTTCTCAGAATCAAATCTCCATCCGGCGGAAGATACAGCCATTGATCCATGGTAATTCGCATTCATTGAACCCCGTTTCTTTCATTTCAGACTTTTCTGTCTTAACCGCAAAACACCTCTTTTCACAGCTTTTAATTACACGTCAAAACCTTTTCCTATTTATTACGGGTAAGCGATTTTTCGATGAACTCACAGTTCATCTGCATATCTCACAATGGCATTCGAAAGGAAGTCTTTCCCCCCTTTTTTTTACCTTATTATCCGCATCCTTCCCTCCTCTAGGATCCTTATTCAAATCGAAAATAGTTGGGATTCCGGTTGAAGAGTACGCATAAAATAATAGAAGAGGTAAAAAATGCTGTCTTTTACACTCGTCGGAAGAGCTGCTTTGTTAATTGAGAAACTTTGCTTTTAATAAATGATTATTATTCATATCCCTGAAATGAATGCATTAATATATTCCAGGAAAGTGAAGATAAGAAAAATCTCAAAAATTTTTATTAATAATTATTTAGTGTAAATCGTTAGAACTTCCAGAAAAAGTTTTAGAATTGTCTATGAATCATTTGAGGCAAAGATAAAGCAATTGCTCGTTAAACTGGGAAGCCTTCGAATATATTCTCAATCGATGACGCTTTTCGAGTAATATAAATCAATTTTATTATCTGATTTCAGACATTAAAGTGTTCGCGTAGCCATCTGGTTATTTTCGCCTTCTCCCGAAAGGTTGATTGACCACTATTGGTTTATGCATCTGTTCAAAATAAAACTTCCAGGCTTTTATAAATTTTCTATTTTGCAGTTGTTTGTTTTTGCTAAATTTTCCTTAAATTCCATTTACGAGTACGTGAAACTGCAGAGCTTCATTTATTTTTATTAATAGTTATTTTAATTTGTTGGCTTTTTCTGTCTTCTTTTATTCCCCTTGCATTATCTAGCCAGTGTGTAAATTAGTTATGGCCAGCCAGTGCATTTAAACTGATGTAGCGAAACGTTTAGTCAGAACGTGGTTTCGCAATTGTAAACGCACGTCACTATTTCTACCATCTATTTATCACAGGTAACTTTGAACTATTGAGTATTGTTAACTTTAAACGGGTATTGTTAACTTTGAACATCAAGAAATTCTTACCGCCGAATTACAGTGGAGCCTCTAGATACGAGTTTAATTCGTTTCAGCATTAAGCTCGTATAGCGAATTTCTCGTATCTAGAAACAAACTTCTCCATTGAAAAAAATGGAAATCCAGTTAATCTGTTCCGCACCCCCAAAAATATCAACATAAAAATCAATTTTTCTAATAAATAACACTGGTAAATAATACAACCGTAGTTTACCTTTATGATAACATCCGACAAACGATAATTTTCGACACAGACCTTTCAACTGATTCTCGTTAATACACACCAACAACAGCTTCTCAACATCTTTTAGGAGTTTTGGATGGTGCCTGGAAGAAACGGTAACTCCTTTGGTTACATCAAGTTTCTTAATTTTTTCCTGCTTCTTCAGAACACTGGAAATCGTCGATGTGGAAACGCCGTAATTCTTCGCCGATTCCGTCACACTTACACCACGCATGTTTATCTATGATTTCTTTGTCAATTTCAACGACAATGGCTTCCTTATTTTTCTTTGCAACACTATCTGAGGCAACAACCTTCTTGGATGGCATCGTGGCATAATTATTTTTATATTAAATGTAATACAAAATTGACTCAGGAGCGCACAAACACGTAGATCAAAGAACTCCGAGTGATTTGACGACGGAATTCCCGAGTCGAGCCGGATCGGGAAATGGCTCCACTCATACCAGCAGCCTGGCTCATTGCTTGTTACTCGAGTCAATGCTCGTATTTAGAGACAAATCTTTGGCTCACACCTTCCTCGTATCTCGAATTTCTCGTACATAGAGGTGCTCGTATCTTGAGGTTCTGTATTATCCTGCCGGTGTAGGTTCTGAGACAGTCTGTTATATTAAATTGAAAAGTGTAGCGCTGCACTAATATTTAGTTTCAATTTTAGTGTTACGTTATCTTATAAGTTTCTCACCGTAAATGGTGTGTGCTGAATGGGCGTTAAGTC